TTAATTATTTTGATTTAAAATTATCAGCAATGTAATTAAGTTTTATGTTTCTACATGAAAACCCGAATTTGGACGAAACAAAATAAATATTAAACCGGCTGATTGTCAAAGCGCGCAAAAAGATGGGAGTTGACCATCTTTTCGCTTCGCGCTGCCGCTTCAACGATTTATGTGGCATGCTTTGTGCATTTTCATACAATTCATCTTATCTGTCAAAGCGAATCTGTCACGTAAAGCGAAGCAAAAGTTTTATGTGACATCAGCTTAAGTTCGGGTGGAGCCGAACATTAAATACCCGGCGCAAGTATTAAATATAGTTTTCACCTTTCCGAAAGCTACCGCTATATGATAAGCCGGGGTGTATAAATTTTAAGTAAATTAGCGTCCTTAAATTTCGAAATATTGCAGTTTCAAGCATTTCTGAAATATACCGTTATATGAAAAGCGGTCGTAATTTCAGTCCGATTTCAATAATTTTCAACGCTTTGCTTTTATGTGGCAAGCACAATAACCATACCATTCAAATTGCTAGAACGGTTAGCGAGATACATATATGTGATCATAAGTGGGCGGTGCCATGCCCATTTTTCCAAAATTGTATCATAAGCGTATTTCTTGGTAAAAAATTGTTGCAACCATCAATTTTTAATAAATTAGCTTTAATATTTACTGATTTATCGAGGATTTCGTATTTTTCTAAATTACCGTTATATGGGATGTGGGCGTGGTTATTGTCCGATTTTAAAAATTTTCGGCCATTTGGTATGTTGTAGCAGGACCAACAACTGTGCCAAGTTTGGAAGAAATTGGTGCAGCGGTTACCAAGATACATATACACATGTAACCATAAGTAGGCGTGGCTACGCCCATTTGCCAAAATTTTTTAATATTCTTATTTTTCGTCTAAAACTCATTGTAAATATCAATTTTGAGTTAATTATCTTCAGTAGTTACTAAAATATCGCACTTTTCGTATTTCTGAAAATTACCGTTATATGGGAGGTAGGGGTCCTATGCCCAAAAGAAGTCCACGTACCAAGTTTCGTTAAGATATCTCAATTTTTACTCGAGTTATCGTGTGCACATTTTTTTTTTTGAAGTTTGCCAACATTTTAAAATCGTATAAAATTGAGAGTAAAAAAAGGAATTGTTCAAAGTTGTTGTTGTTTGAGATTGAAAATGAGAATGTGTGTGTAAAATTTTAAAATTAAATTGCTTGCAAACGTCAAGAATTTGAAAAATTCCTCTCAGCGGTTCTACCTTCCTATTTTTTTATCATGATTGAAACTTCTTAATCGAGTTCGGAGATGTTTGCGTTAAATATTTAACACCAAGTCATAAAATCTGTATCTTTCGTTCGATTTTCAAAAAGGAGGTAGGTGTCAAATGAAAGGGCTTGCCCTGTAGATGTGTAATATGGTTTTAGTTTTGTGGCATACGTAAGAAAATCAAAATCAAATTATTTCATAAGTTAAATAAATTTCCCTAATATGGGTATCAATCGAAATGGTCTTGAATAAACTTTATTTTTTAATTACATTTAGGAGGGTGAGCGAAATTAAAGGTTAAGACATATATAATAAAATTTCATGGGAAATATTTTCGTACAAATTTTAACCCATTACCTCCCGCCTAAAAGGGTAATTTTGACCCTTACTTCAAGAAATCCCGCAAAAAGCAAATTTGGAAGGTCGTTAGAGGATTTATATATTCTAAAAAATTATTCTCCGGAAAATTTTACTAGGGGCCTTCTCAGGCAAAAGCTTCATGCCATCAACGCAAAAGCCTCTAAACATTTAAAATAAAAAATCAACAAAAAAAAAACAGTTTTTTGCAAAAAATTTCTTAAATTTGAGTTCGGAATAACAGTTCTTCCTGGCACAGATTTTTGTCCCGATGCATCAGATCGAAAATCATGTATTTTTTTTTTACTTGCATCCCTAAGACAAATGGAGTGCCACACACAGTGATGGCAAATTTAGTCAGAAACAAGAAAGTTGAAGAGTTAATTTTTTTGGAAATAAATATGAAATTCGATTTTTTCTAGAAAAATTCGATTTTATCCGAATTTTAGCAACACAAAGTTCGATTCCGAAAATTCGCCATTTTGGAGCTAAAAATCGAATATCGAAGCTTCGAATATCGAATTTACCCATCCCTAGTCTGTTCCATAACATAAACCAAATAAGATAAAGTTTAATGGCCTTATTCATAAAAAATAAAGCAGGGTTAAAGAGCTTAATAAAATGACATTTCCTTACATTTTTCAGTTTATAAACCTTTTCTATTTTTTATGAATAAGGCCATAAAACTTTACGCAAAGTTCACGAAAATGCAGAATTTTTTGAAACCTATGCAGTATGCAGTTTTGTAACCTATTCAACTTTACGTGTAGCCTACTACCGTTGTCTTTTAATTCAAACTTGCACATTGTTATACTAAAATTGAATAGGCTACAAAAATGCATACCCAAAAAGTTTAAAAAAATTCTTAATAAAATTTGAAATTCGTAAAAGTATATATATATATAAGTATGTATATATATACATTTAACGTTAAAATTACTTCTAACGTGAAAGCCAGTTCTGCAATGAAATAAAAATCAAATATTTCAAATTTCTATTGTTTTAATTTCAGGAAATAACTGGATATACGATTGAAGAATAAAATAATTTTAGCTTCCCAAACAACGTATTTCAATGAGTCCGATACTGAGTAGTATCGATACTTTTTCCCTGATACTTTTAAAGTATCGATACCATGAGCTCGATGCCAGATTGAGTACTCAGTATCGATACCAAAGTGTGAAATTTCGAATCNTCGAATATCGAAGCTTCGAATATCGAATTTACCCATCCCTAGTCTGTTCCATAACATAAACCAAATAAGATAAAGTTTAATGGCCTTATTCATAAAAAATAAAGCAGGGTTAAAGAGCTTAATAAAATGACATTTCCTTACATTTTTCAGTTTATAAACCTTTTCTATTTTTTATGAATAAGGCCATAAAACTTTACGCAAAGTTCACGAAAATGCAGAATTTTTTGAAACCTATGCAGTATGCAGTTTTGTAACCTATTCAACTTTACGTGTAGCCTACTACCGTTGTCTTTTAATTCAAACTTGCACATTGTTATACTAAAATTGAATAGGCTACAAAAATGCATACCCAAAAAGTTTAAAAAAATTCTTAATAAAATTTGAAATTCGTAAAAGTATATATATATATAAGTATGTATATATATACATTTAACGTTAAAATTACTTCTAACGTGAAAGCCAGTTCTGCAATGAAATAAAAATCAAATATTTCAAATTTCTATTGTTTTAATTTCAGGAAATAACTGGATATACGATTGAAGAATAAAATAATTTTAGCTTCCCAAACAACGTATTTCAATGAGTCCGATACTGAGTAGTATCGATACTTTTTCCCTGATACTTTTAAAGTATCGATACCATGAGCTCGATGCCAGATTGAGTACTCAGTATCGATACCAAAGTCTGAAATTTCGAACCCTTGGCGTGATACCGTTCACATCAACAAGTACAAGTTTTTCTCATTACGTATAACTGAACATATTATCGGAATTGTTAGAAATAGGGGTTAAACAGGGTAACGGCAGTTTTGAGAAAGGTGAAAACTATATTTAATACTTGCGCCGGGTATTTAATGTTCGGCTCCACCCGAACTTAGACTTTTTTACTTGTTTTAATTTAATTCGTAATTGAAAGTAACATTTCAACTATTTATAATTGCGATACCAACCTTTTAAAAATCGGTTAGTAATTTTTTTTGTAATGTTTTTATATAAAAAAGGGTATTTTTTCCTTTAAATGTGTTTTTTCTCAAATTTTTATTACGAAGTATATAAATATGCTTATCAGAAGAAAGGGGATTTAATCGTCTTTACAATGATACTAATTTTTTAAAAAACTGTTTTTTTTTTTGTTTAAAATAATTTTTTTATTCAAAATATTTTTTTTATTTAAAATATTTTTTTTATAAAAAAAGGTATTTTTTCCTTTAAATGTGTTTTTTCTAAGATTTTTATATACGAAGTATACAAATATGCATATCGGAAGAAAGGGGGTTTAATCACCTTTACAAGGATATAAATCCAGAGAAAAGGTTGATTTTGCCGTACAGTGTAATTTTAAACAGATTTTATATGACTGAAATTTCAAGTGTGTTAAAGCGTTTTTTCTCTCGCTTACAGTTCGATTTCCGTTTTGGATGGTAGCGATGGCTTTCGCATTTTCTCCATCAATAGCTGTGACAAGGTTGAGGAAATCTACGCCAGAGATTCGGAGCATATCATTTTGATCGAGCGCCTATTCAATAGCTCTCTGGTGGTGATGGTCACTGCCGAGAAACCGCACTGCTTGCAAATGTTGCACTTCAAGAAGAATCAGAAAATCTGCAATTGTGTCTACCCTACGAATATACTCAGCATACGCATGAATCGTACGCGTTTGATTGCCTGTCTAGCGGAGAGCATACACATTCACGACATACGCGACATGAAGATGCTCTATGCCATTGAGAATATTGCACCCAACGAGCTGGGCTTGTGTTCCCTATCGCTAAACTCGCACTTAGCCTTTCCCATCTGCAGTACCAGCGGTGAGCTGCGTCTCTACAATGCATCCAAACTGAAGCCAGGCATCACAATTCGGGCGCATGAAAGTCGTTTGTCGGCATTGAATTTCTCACCCAGCGGCCAACTGCTGGCGACCGCCTCGGAGCGTGGCACTGTGATACGTGTGTTCTGTGTGAAGACTGGTCAGCGCGTGCAGGAGTTTAGACGCGGCGTGAAACGTTGCGTACGCATAGCATCGCTGGTATTTTCGGTTAATGGACAATTTCTCTGTGTCACCTCGAATACAGAGACAGTGCATGTATTCAAAATCGATGAAAAAGCAGTGATGACGGCGCTAGAGGGTGAGTAATATCGAGGAACTAGTGGATGAACATATTTCTAAAATCACTTTTACTTAAATTTTACTCCTCCAGCTGACGCTTTGAAAGCGTCAAATACTGCCGCAGCTGCTAAACAATTGGAAAAGCAGTCGACGCAGCCGGGCAAAAGTGAAGCGCAAATTGAAAATGCTGTAGCGCCAGCTGCTGATGCATCGCTTGTCTCCACATCGCCGGGCGCCTCGGGTAGCGGCTGGTCCGATTACTTTTCGAAGGCTGTATCCTCATATCTCTTGCCAACGCAAGTGAGCGATGTGCTCGCGCAGGATCGCGCCTTCGCTACGGCGGTCATAGCACAGCCTGGCATGCGTCACATTTGTGGACTGACATACGTGCAGAAGCAATTGAAGGTGTTGATCGCCAGCGAGGAGGGTTTCCTCTACATTCACGAATTCAGTGCGGAACGCGGTGGCGCTTGCAAATTGGAAGCGGTACATGATCTACGCGGTGCGCTAGACGGTGTCGTAGGTGAGGAGTGCATTAGTTTAGAAAATATTTGTAAGTTAGTAGAATACAAATTTAGTCTACTACACAAACTAGCAAGATAACAAAGCTAAGGCAGGATTATTAGTCATTCTTGTTCGTAACAATATTAAACGTTGTAAGGCAATCTTGTATCGCACAAAAGCTATGTAAGCCACAAACATTTATGCCCGTGCTGGTAAGCATGGACAATGACAACATCCGATGAGGCGGCTCCGCTGGCTAGGCCATGTCGTTCTAATGGACACCACTGCGATAGAAAGACCAAGTGGAAAAGGACTTGGCTTCACTTGGCATTTCCAATTAGCACAAAAGATAGGGCTGACCAGTTTTAGACTATTTGTCCCGGTGTCCCGGTCCAACCTTAAAATGTCCCGGGTTTCGTTTAAGTGTCCCGGTTTTCAATTTATATGCCCAAATTTTAATAAGTTCAAAAATCACTACCGGTGTCCTTTGTGAAATAGTTACATGTCCACATAGTTGGACTTTGCGCAAGCAATATTTGATGATCGATATCCACTCTAAAAAAAATTGTGTTTAAATTTGCGCATATTAAGATAGGTAACCAGTTTCTCTCTTAATGAGTGCAAATTTACACACTGTGTTAACACACTGTGTTAACTAAATTAACATATGTTTAGCGTAGAACAAATTTAAAATATGTGTGTTTATTGAANTTGGACTTTGCGCAAGCAATATTTGATGATCGATATCCACTCTAAAAAAAATTGTGTTTAAATTTGCGCATATTAAGATAGGTAACCAGTTTCTCTCTTAATGAGTGCAAATTTACACACCGTGTTAACTAAATTCAACACTGCTTGTTTACTTGTGCTTATCATATGTTTAGCGTAGAACAAATTTAAAATATGTGTGTTTATTGAATTCTAAACACTTAATGTTCACAATTTCACAGTTTACACATCAAATGTTTAAAATTTGCTTTAAAATTTGTTTGTTTAGATTTACGCTTATGAAGAGAGTTAACCAGTTTCCCCTCCTGCAAAATCAAACACTGTCTGTTTGCTTTTACATACCAAAACATCGAATGTTCAAAATCAAATCTTGAACATCTTATGCGTATATTTACATAGATTCTGGTGGAAAATTAGGCACTTTTCAGTTGTAGTTATACATGCACTTTTTAGAGTGTGCAAACTGCCCTTTTTTATTAGCATCAGCTGTTTTTTATTTGTTTTGCTTGTTTGTTTTTCGTGCGTGCTTTACTTCCAATGTAAGTTTTCGCGACAAACTTTATAGAACATAAAAATGCCAAGGAAAGAAAGAAAGTATAAATTCCTTTCCGCTTGCAAAGAAGAGTGCGTCATTTGTTTATGATTTATTTTGGAACAAATTACCGTCATCCCTTGTCAAGATTGATTAGCAGGCAAACCGGTTTCGGCGTTGTGCCATCTTCAGTGTAATTTTTCGTTGATTTGTTTTTTGACGTTATAATACCTTAAAAGAGAGCCTCACTGAGTTGTCAACCCCACCTTTTTTAACACACCTTGGCCTTGACCTAGTAGTCATAATTGTTGTGTTAGATTCACCACAGTGTCCCGGTTTGGCAACAGAGATATCCGGCAGCCCTAACAAAAGAGAAAAGACTGACGTGCTTTGTTGAACTCGGCCAAAATCGCCTAGGCGTTTACAGCGCCAAATAAGAATATTAAATATTAAATATGTACATGGGCCCGTAGTCATAGAGAATTAATTTTAACTAAATTTAATTTTGATTAAAAACGTTACAACAACCATTATTACATGAAAAAAATATAAATAACAATTAAAAGAAAAAAAAGGGTGAACAAAATTTTTGCTGGCAGTGGGATTCGAACCCGCGACTTTGCGGCGTGGTAAATCGGCAATACTGCCGCAGACACAGGGTGAACTTATTAAAGCACTCATATATCTTTATATTGCCGAGTTAACTTTTACGTTTCATATGGATAGCTCTGTTCTCTCATCTTAACAAAAAGTTGTTACGAAGTCGTGGGTTCGAATCCCACTGCCAGCAGAATTTTTTTCATATCTTTTTTTTTTCTTTTAATTGTAATTTTTATTTTTAATGTAATTATAGCTGTTGTTACCTTTTCAATTAAAATTAATCCAATTAAAAAATGGTTGATTTGACATATATGTATGTATGTATGTACATATACACACATATCTATATTAGACTGCACCAAAAAACCAAAGATGTTATTTTTAACGCATCATTTTATTGATTTTGTCTTAAAAACTATCCGAATAAAATTTTATGCAATTCGGACCACGGCAAACCGTGCTGATTTGCAGTCAAAGTTATCAGAATAAACTTAGTGCAGTTGGCGTGTTTTGTTAATTTACTAATTTTTCTTCTGTATAAAACGGTATTGCTATACTCCCTGCAGTATCAGGACATAATATTGAGTACATCTGCGTTTTTGGTTTTTTACGCGGGAGTTAAGATTTTTTCCAAAGGACCATTAATTATAATATTTCCAAAACTTTACACATAGGCATAAAGCCTATCAATTGAAAAGAGAATTCGAAACAAGATTAATCATAACTTTTCAATTATCATTTTGGAACATGTCAATAATGTTCTTTAAAAATATTATCCTACAAGATTTTTAAATTTAAATGAGTTTGAATCTTAGATTAATTCAAATCCTACTAATATATATATATGAGGGTACTAAAGGAAAAAAATGTTTCAAAAGACATTTTTAAAATTTTTAAATTAATACTGCCACATTAATTCCTTAATCAACCCGTGAGAACATGTCAAACAGTAAAACACTTTATTTTGTTTATTTAATATTATAAGAGGCATTTTTTTTTGTGCAGAAGCAAAAGAATTTGTTAAAAAAGTTGAATATAAAACTTTAATGTTCATCATACGGCCCTGTCAGACCAATTAAAAATAGTCCACAATTGCAAATTTTCAGGAGAAATCCTGTCGTCCTATTAAAATTTTAACCAAAAAAATCTACAAGTTGTAATCGTCGTAAAACAATTTTAACTATACTCACGTATTTGTGTTCGTACATCCTACTGTAATTTACAACGATTTTTAATTTTCGATTTTAACAAATAAAGATTAAAAATAATAATTAATATTTGAGTTTAATTTTTCGCTGCATGTAATTATTATTACTTGCTTTTTATTTTTTTCGACCAAAAATAATGATTATTTTATGATTTTTATTTTTTCACGCAAAGATAATAATTATTATTGAGTTTAACTTTTTCACTTAAAAAGCTATACCAGCGTGATTTCCATCGAATCCTTTTCAGAAGTAGCGACACCCTAATAAAAGAAATAAGTCCCAAAATTTTCAGGTCAAGATTTCAGTAAGTTGCGTCGTTTTCAATTTTATAAATAATCATTATTTTTAAGCGGAAAAATAAAACTCAGTAATAAGTATTATCTCTGAGCGAAAAAATAAAAATCATGAAATAAGCATTATTTGTGATCGAAGAAATAAAAATCAATAATAATTAAAATTAACATGCGAAAAAATAAAAATCATAAAATAATAATTAAATTCTGATTTAAAATTTAAAGATGCAGATTTACCAGAAATGCATTAAAATATGGCAAACATATCGAATTTTTTGCATTTCCAAAGTTTTCATGGACGATTTGGTAGTTTTAATTTAAGTTATTAACCAAAACTTCAACTAAAAGTCGGCACGGGTTATCGTTATCCTACGGCCATAAAACTTCTTATATTTATATATATGCCGTTTAGGCTAAAAAGCACAAATATAGAATAGATACGCAAATGATTATTCGCGAAAAATGTTTGCGCCACTGGATGTACACCAATCTTCTTTGAAATTTTATAATTTTTGTAGACATAAAAGTTTTTCTAATTTGACTGTTATATGTAACATTTTTAACCATTATTCAATATTCCGTTCCCATTTCTTTATTCCAGAGCTCAGCCTCTCTGATAACGCTNGCGGCAGTGAAGCGAAAAGTAAAAAGAGCCCTATTCCACGTTGCGTCTTACAAAATCCAGATCCAGTGCGGGATAATTCATATGCCGGTATACTAAAAGGACAACAGGCAGCCAATTCGCTAACGGGTAATAAAACTTAGATTTGCGTGGGTAGAATATTACTTACTTTTTGCGACTAAATTTTTTGTTTTTATTTTTTGTGACAAATTACTAAATTCTTTTCTTTTTTATACAAATTAAAATCGAAATTCTTACTGCATTTGAAAACGACCGCCTGTGCTCATCTTCCATTTCAGCAGACTCTGCCAAGTACCGTAAACTTTGTGATGCCATTGATACGCCGAGTAAACTCTTTGATGAACGTCAATTTCCGCCAGTGGCCATTGCAGCCCGCGATTGACTAACAAAGCGAAGGAGTGAAGAAAAGGAACGTTTTACGACAGCTGTTGCGAAAGCTTAAATTTATATATAAAGAATTTAGTGGCAATTTATTTATATACATATGTAGATTTGCTTGGTTTGCGTCTGAAGCTTTCTCTTGTATTTAGGTGTATAGTGGCACAGCTGGTTGATTAAAAAATATGACATGCATACATACTACATATGTATGCCATTAATTAAAAATAATAATTTAGCGAAATTTAAAAAGCGTATCAATTTAGCGATTAATTATTGTTTGAATGTTGTATAAAATTCTATTATGAAAGCTATTTTTTTAAACGTGGAATGTTAGAAAATACATACATATGTACATATGCATACGTACAAGTATTAATATTAGTTTTAACACAGGCAAATTATGTATAAATTTAGATACATGCACACGCATGTAGCATAAAAGCAAAAAAAGAAAAATTTAAAATATCTGTTAGTAAATTAAGCTTAGTAAGCATTTATATATACATATTATATTTCTATGTTTACGATATTTTCTGCGAAACTTTGGCCCATAAAGCGACTATAATATATTTTCAATATAGGGCCCAATATGTTGCGCTCTCTTTTCCACTATGGCATAGACAGGCGGCGACGTAAATCCGGATTAACGGTGCAGTTGATCTGAGCAAAATTCTACCCTGGCAGACGTCAGTGTTGCGTATTAAGTAGGTCAGAAAAATTTATTAAAAAATTTTTGAGTTCCTTCAATTATTACTTTTATTTTTCAAACGTAATTATAGTCGTTGTGATATTTTCAAATAAAAGTAAACTCTAAAAAATTTAATTAACTTCAAAATAATTATGTTAAATAACACAAAAAAACAAAAATAAAACATACATACAATTGAAAAAATACAAACAAAAACAATAAAAATAATTTTAAGGTTTGATGAATACCCTTATTGTGTCAAGGAATCCCTTTCCATGGTAGCAAGTAGCAAAAACCGCATTTCAATTTGATTTTAAAAAGTAATTTCAAGCTCAAAAACGATCTTCAAAAGTAAAATTTTTGAATGCAATGAACTTTTAGAAAAAAAAAATAAAAGACGTTATTTTAGTTCTTGCGACCATGGAAAGAGATAGCGTGATGCAAGGATAGCATACCGGTTTTAGGTCAAAAAGGAAGAAATTTAAAACCTATTATCGAAGATCATTTTAAAGGTTAACGTAATTTTTTAATCTACGACTACAATTTTTTTTTATTATCTTCCTTTTTACCTTCCTTTTATTCGCTCGGGATGTAACTATGTAATATTGATGCGCCTAAAAGATGCAGCGATTTCTATTCTCAAGTTACATACCGAATGACAGTACGAATGGCAATTATAATAGGGAGGTTTTAGTTTTTTAAACTATAATTTTTTATTTATTTCTGAAATAAAACACTGTGCGGCGTTTTCAGTTGTATATTGAAAGCCATAACGCCCAAAAAGGCTTGGTGTGGAGTTATGCTCTTAATCCAGATCAACTGCAGTTAATTACCGAGATAAGTCCGAATTAAAAAGTTCATGACGCATCAACACTGCCGCCCGTCTTTGCTTTTTGTTGGAATAGAGAAGTATTTTTCGAAGCCTGTATTAATGGCTTATTGACTTTTTTATACAAATTTATGTTATAAAATTAAAAAAAAAAAAATACTCTTAGGCCGGTCCAAGATTCGTGTTCTGCGATAAGCGACTATAGCATTAAGAATGTACATTCCGGGCCAAACTAAGCAAAGTGGCATCTCAATGCTTGTCATCTTGCATAATAGTATATTAATTTTACAATGTAGGAAGAATCGTTTCATCAATATTTAAAATATCGTTATATACTAGTCAAAGTTCGCTGCAGTTGATTGGACAGTATTTAGGGCTTCAATACAACAAGACAGTTTAGACGTTCCCAAGATAGGATTTGCAATTTACAACAAGTCTATTTTTTTTTGAGTTTTAGAAATTTGTTTTTTGTGATTGCTAATTATATCTAATGACAAAAAGGACACGCAAATATAGTAGATAATGGAATCAATTAATTAGCTGACATGACTGCATAAGCAACAACAATTGCATGACATTTATAAAACATACATATGCATATGTAATTATGCATCAAATGCAGAAGAAACGTCCATACTTTCCGACAATCTCATAGTATTGCAAGAATTTTAAATATACGGTTAAATAATTTACTAAGCAACTGCATAAAAGTAGACAAATACATATGTATATACATTGTACACCCACTTAAAACATTTCAGTACAGATTTTTTTACACTATTCAAGATTTTCATAAAAAAAAATAGTTATTTTTTATAAAAAATATAGTTCGTTCTATAATATTAATTAGTTTCAAACTTTGTTTAAAATTTATAAAAATTTTCAGCAAAATTTCCAAATTTTTTGTCACATTTTTGGGAAAGATTGGCATGCAGTTTTATAGCCCATTCAATTTCAGTGTAATAAAGTGCAAGTTTGAAGTAGCTACAAGATCCGGTAATATTTGAAATTTTTTTCCATATACAAATTTTTTAGCATTCGATAAAGTTTGAAACATATGATTAAATAGTTTATATATATTATGGAATGAATTATATTTTTTATAAAAAAATTTGTTAAAGAAAAAACATGAATATCTATTGTAAAAAAATCCGTGTAAGGCCACTTTTTCTAGTGGGGGTG